AGAGAGAGAGAGAGGCGCACATGATTTCGTTCTCGACGACTACGATAAAGAATCAAATACATCGTTGAGTGAAGGTCGGTTATAATTTCCCACGCGTGGTAGATGCAGAGTCGCGCCGCAGTGTATTTCTAATGAGATTATAATGTGTTTCGGGTTGTTTCGATGTAGAGGCATCTTGGTCAATGAGAAACTCCGTTCCACTGAAGCGAAATCGCGCGGATCCACGATCGTATAAACGTTCGATAATTTCCCTCTGCCAAAGTGATTAAGACTGAAAAAGAAATACTTAATTCCCGAGTGGGGGCACGATTGCGTCGGTAGCCGGCATCATAGCACGCGTGTAGCTCGCACGTCTCTATATTTTCTCCTTTAACACGCTCTCATCGTTTCTCTTTCGCGACGCTCGAGAGCCGCGCGAGTTTCTGTTTACCCTGAATAAATTTGTCCCGTAGCTTTCACGGTTTTTCTTCCTCCCGCCCCTCCCTTTTTTTTAATACTGATGTACTGTCCGCGTATAAATGAAACATCGCTTTCTCCTCTTTTTGCCAATTTCCCTCTCTCTCCTCTCGTCCTCTCTCGGAGATGCAACGGCGCACTCCATCCATTTACTGCAATCTTTATAATTACATTTTATTTCATTTCATTTACTTGCATAATTATCCCTCCACCTTCTCTCTATCTCTGTCTATTCATCTCTTTCCCCGCGTCTGGCGCTCCTTTTCCTCCTCCTAAGAGGGATTACTCGTCCCGTAAGAAAAATTCCCCGCGTCGCGCCCAGTCCCAGCACTCGCGGCTTGGAATTCCGCGATCCCCGGGCCCCGGCCATCGGCCGGCTTCGCCCGCATCAATTAGGTATTTTAATCGGAAAGGCACCGCGGAATAGTTGCGATACTACAACGGCGCGCATTTACGATACGCGAGCGCGCGCGCGCGCGCAAGCACGCCCGGAGAATTGGAACGTGGTTGCGTTAACATAATGGAATTCCGCGGAATGTTATAACCATTATATACGTACAGCGGATTACGTCACGGCGTGCAACGGCGGCGGAGGGGTAACGGCGGTACACGCGCGGCTCGCAAGCGAGCGAGCGAGCGAGCGAGAGAGAGAGAAAGAGAGAGAGAGAGAGAGAGAGAGAGAGAGCAAGAGAGAGAGAGAGAGAAATAACGCCGCTTGTCGGCTGACGTCGCGCTCGCTTTAATTTCCTAGATTGAACTCCGCGCATTTTCCCTCTCCCTTGCTCTTTCTCGTCGGAGTCTTGGCAGTCGCCGTTGCCACACCGTTCTTTTTCCGCGCGCGTTAAACGCCTTCGCCAGTCGCTCCGCGATGAACGCGGGTGCGTAACGCGCTCTTCCCTACCGACCACACAAACGCAGGGGATCCCATCACCACCTGGGTCCCGATTCCGGACGCGAAAATTCGACATGTTTGCCGGGGTTTACCGCGTCGCGATTCCACCCCCGTGTCCCCGAAGGGTCACCCTTTTTCCGGGCGTACGCGTGCACATCCGTGTGCCATGACGAGCCGACGCGTACTGCGGCCGAACGGCGGTGCGAACCGCGTTTATTTGCGCGTCTAAGCGAAAGATAACGGCGCAACGCGTGATTAACTCTTCTTCCCGATGAACGTACGCGCGCGCACGTTTGCCAATCATGCCCGTGTAGCCGCGGAGATATCGCGATGTGCCGGCATAAATCTTGCCGCGTCTCGCTTCTTACACCCACCGGGACTCATATCGCACAAGTAATATAAAAACTTAGTTATCAATATAAAACGCATCATATGTCTATAAAGTGTCGCTTGAAAGTCTCTCTTAACTTCAATCTCGCGATTCTAGAACTTCTAGGTCTCTCTCCGAGCAACGAGGCGTTTGTTAGCTACCGCAGTGGCTGGATTTCTCTCTCTCTCTCTCTCTCTCTCTCTCTCTCTCTCTCTCTAGATTTTTTACTATTGTACAGATTAAAAGATTCATGATAACTTCGCGCGCGGATCTCCAGATCGATGAAAACAAATTGCATGATTATTAATCATTCATTCTCGACGTCGCTGAACACTCACGACGTTGCAAACACGTTGCTTCCGGCGTAACTTCCGTCTCGCTTCTCGCGTGAGAGGTTTCCGAGCCGCGAGGGCACCACCGGAAGTCCGCTTTCTGCGACCCCCAAGAAGCGCCGCCACGTACCCGCCGCCGTTCCGTCGCGGTTCTTACCGGCGCGACGTCTCCGACGGTCGCCGTTTACAAAACGGCTTGTGAGTAGCCGCACGCTTAATAACTTGCGCCGGTAGCGGACGATAAATAATGCAGGAGACACCGTCGTCCCGATGTAATTAACGAGAACAGTCGATATCTGCGCGCGCGCGCGCGCGCGTGTTACGTGTGCGTGCGTGCGTGGCCAGCGTGACCTGTGCGTGTGCGTCACGTACGCGCGCGAACGAGCGCGGTCAATATTTGTCATCCGCTTTAACAAAAAGAACGTTACAAAACGCTCGGCCGGATGCACCCCGGTCAAATATTGACTGCGCTCATTGACGTTCATTGATACTCTCAATTAGCGCATACCGTCGAAGCCAATCGCCGGGTAATTGGGATGGCCCTCCTCCTCCTCCTCTTCCTCCTCCACCTCCTCTCCCCCTCCGGAAAAGCGCGCGGGCCTCTCTCTTTCACCGCCCGTTTGCTCCCTCCCAACCTCCCTTCCTGCCTGCCACAGCTTGCCTGCCTTCGTCCCTCCGTCCGTCCGTCCATTTCTCTTGCCTCTGCGTTTTCGCGAGCGTCGGAAGCGACGAACGGTTTCGGCGCGAAAACTCTGTCCGCGCGCGTCCGCATAATTGGCGGTGACCACCGCGACTCGCGAGTCCGTAACGTCCGCTCGACTCTTCCGAATCGAAAGGGGCGGCCAATTATAGCGGGGTGATTGCCGTGAACGCGAATATAGTGTAGATGGTCTCCTCGGGAGAGTCCGATCGTCGTTTCGCCGCCGTTTTTCCTCGATTGGGACCGAAAGTGCGCGACTCCCTCCTTCTTCTCCCTTTCTCCCCCTCCCACCGTCGCGTTCTCGTTATAACGGAAACTCGCGAGAGCGTCTTCTCCTTTCGTTACTCTATCGGGAAAATTGGGTCCGGGTGATTTTGGAGTGGTAGAAGGAGAGAAAGAGAAAGGGGCAGGGTGGTTGATTAACCACCCCAGAGTGCGAAACTTTCGATCGACAGAGCAAGAGAGAAAGAGAGAAGAAGAGGGTTAGTTCGCCGCGGGAAACGCCGCCGCACCCCGTCGTTTCTTGTTTCACTTCTGGCGGCAGGGCACGCTCCCCGACCGGAGGGGAAACTTTTAATTGACTCTCTCTCGTCGCCAAATTATTTCTAAATGTTGAGCAAATATTGGAGCGTTTCATTTTTTTCCCTCACTCTTCTTTCCGCGTTTTATTTGCATTATTCGACGACGGAGCGGGCGAAGTTCAGATGTATATTCGGAATCTTTTGGTCGTCGCGCTGCGACGAGCTTCGCTCGCCTGTTTGTTTAACTTGTCGACGGTGAGATTAGGTTTGTGACAGCTTTGGTAACGTGCCATAATTCGAATCAGAAGGTATCGCCAGTCGCCGTGGCTTTTGTTATGTAAAAGCGCATATATACACATAGCTGAGAAATTTTGCGGATTCTTTTATTAACGTCTCCAGAGTATCGCGGGCATAAAGTTCGTAAAGATTTCTCACTCACAGCCCAAGTAGAAACGATCGATCTGCCGTAATCAACAAGTCACTCGAAACCCCGAGATCTAACGTTTAACTGAGACTTTCTTCGTTCCTACCCCAATTCGATAATAAATGCATAATCATCGCGGTTTCATTCTCCCATGTGTTCTTGGTTTTTTAGGGTTACAAAGAACGAGAGAAGTAATGCTCCTCCGACATAAAAGTAGAAAAATTATATTGAGCGCGTCGGAATACCACGCGTCCGAGCTCTTCGGTGTTATCATGTGCGTAAAAATCTTCTAATTACAACACTCGGCGCAATTACCGACTACTTGTTGTGCAATTTGCATCGAAAATTACATATCGGCGCTGACGCGTGCAAAGACAAATGCTCGTCCGGACAAAAAGATTAATCGCGTAAAACAGTATCATTCCGCTCGCAGACAAGCGTACGCTCGTCGGTGATTCTCAAGCGCGCCTGTAATCACGTGATATAGCCTCGCAGTTGTAATTTATAAAACTTCTACTGCGCGCGTTCAAAAGAAGCCCTCTAAATTTCGCGGAATGCGACCTCACTTAAAACGAACAAAAATTCGTTCGAAACACTCGAAAGTGCCGCCACTCGCAAGAGTCAATTTTTTCGTCTGGAATTTGGGGTGGTTTGTCAATCCACACGAGGGAAAATGTTTCAGTCGACTAGAGCGAATTTGTTTCTGCGACGGACCACACAGATCGGCATAATAGCATTGCACATAAAGTTATATCCTTTTAGAGCGTATGATACACATCTTTGCTCTAAAATACTATAAAAAGTTTTAAAGAGGTACAACTTGATATGTTAAGGACGTTATGTTATGATCTGTTGTGTACAATAGATTTCAAACTCTTCGAATGAAAATATTCACTCAATGATTCGGAATGGAAAATTCATTCTGCATCAATGAAAAGTCATTTGAATTCGCGTGACTCGGCTGCGACGTTGTTCCTCAAATAGAATTTTACTCGAAGAAAAATTTAGCAAACAGATTATACTGACACATCCGAATCTTTCAACCCGCGCTAAGCCTCTCGCTAAATAGAACAAATCACTGTCCCATCATCCTTGCGCGGACATTGGACGCTAAACTCGATTATTTTTCTGATGTTTTCAAGTAGACAATACTCGAAAAGTGTTTCTTCCGCGAAAAAATACATAGCCGGCACGTTGCGCACACTAGCCGCGGCAATCTTCGCAGACGTTGACGATATTTCTCGCGATAGAAACGCAAAGCCGAGAGCGCGAATTACAAGTAGATAAAGACAATTCTCGACTCACCCTTTCCTCCTCCCGAATCATCTCAGCGATGCCGGGCTTGATCTCGAGGTCATCTCCGGTACCGGGTTGATTACCGGCGCCTTGCTGGTGGTGCTGTTGCTGTTGCTGCTGCTGTTGTTGCTGCTGCTGCTGTTGCTGCTGCTGCACGCCGAGTTGCTGGCTGTGGCCGCCCAGGTGGTTGACGGGCGCGTGCGGACCGGAAGTCACGTGGCCAGGCACGTGGTGAGTCGGCAGGGGGTGCGAGCTCTGCTGTCCCTGCGGGGGTGGCGGCGGGGGTGGCGGTAGAGGCAGCGTGACCGGAAGCTCCTGCAGGTTGATCTGCGGCGTGACGGAGATATTGGGTGTGCTGGGTGAACCCAGAGACCTCGGTGTCGAGCTCGCCGCCGGTATCATGTTGTGAATTTCGGGCACGACGACGTTGCTGGCGATCACGTCTTGATCGTCGACGATGCTACCGGAACCGACACGATCCGGACTGTTGGTACCGGACGGTGATCTCTCGCCGGACATCCGGCGACGTTTCTTCCGGTGCATCGCCGCACCGGCAGCCTCCTCCAAACTCGGTCTAGACGTGAGCTCTTGCTCACTGTTGACATCCGCGAGACCGCGAATCTTGAGACTTTCGGCGACCTTGAGCAGTGGCCCGATTTGCTCTTGGGAGACATTGATCTCGCCCTTGTACATGAACTCGACCGCGGCCTTGAGCTCTGGCCACTTGATGTCCTTCATGATGACGATCGGATGCTGGCAGGGGTTGTCGAAGAAGAGCGTTTGGAAATACGGGCTGCAGGCTGAGAGTACCATCTTGTGGGCCTTGACGCTGTGCCCGTCGCAGGCCAAGGTGACGTCCACGAAGCTCTCGCTGTGCAGGAGCTGGTCGAAGACGTTAGTGAGATTGGTCTGATAGTTGTTCCAGCGCAGACAGAACTGCTGGGGTGACCCAGCGCCGCTTTGCTGCGTCATGTTCGGGCGCTTAGGCTACCTCCGTTCGTCTCGTTTCTCACAGAGAGAGAGTGATCTCTCCAGCTCCCCTTTCCGCCGGTTGCGTCTTTCTCCGTTCTTCTCCGCCACGCGCGCTTCCACCTACGCTCTCTCCTCCTCCGCTACCTGTCGCACGTCTTCTTCTTCGTCGTCTTCTTCCTCTTCTTCTCCTCTTCCTCGGTCCTCCTCCTCCTTCTCCTCCTCGTCGTTGACGGTGGCCTCCTCGTGGTGTCTCGCGCCTCGGGCTTCTCGTTATCGATAACGCTAGCCTGATCGGATCAGCAACGAGGCCGCATCTGCAACGACACACATGCACAGCCACACGCAATACTCCAGATGTACGGCGCGCAACGCGGGAGTGAGAGATTATCCGCGCGCCTCGTGGCAACGTGCGCGGATCTGTCAGACGCGAACCGACGCGAGCGTCATCGTCCCGTTGGGACGTCGCGGTCGAGCATCGTAGAGCTTGACGTGGAGGTGCGGCCGAAAACGTACTCAAATACTCGCTACTCCACTCCCACAGCGAAAGAGTTACAGTTCACCTACTGGTCTCCCCCCAACAAAGCATCATACACGACGGGAGGTCTCCCGAGGGATCAAGAGAGTCCCGAAACAGGGTTGCGACCCTGCTCCGATGCACCACGCGGCACACTTTATCTTTGTTTTACCCCCTTTCCCTCTCTCTCACTCTCTTTCTCTCTCCCTCCTTCTGTCTCACACTATCGTTCTCGCTCTCGTTTTTCCTCAAGTTCTTATCTATCAGCACCTATCTCGGTCCAATCAGTCGTCGAAAGGTCCGTCACGTTGTTTTTGTCCGAGAGAGAGGGAAGAGTTTGACTTCACCATCAACCACCCACCACCAACCACCTTTCAAAACGCGACAATCGACGAAAACGATAACGACAACGACAGTGTCGTGATTTCCACGACGGTACAGCGCGTTATAGACACGGATACGGATCGCGGTGTACGCCGCGCGTTGCGGCGTGATAAGCGCGTGCTGCGCGCGGCGAAGGGTGTCGGAACGACGAACGGCGTACGATCTGCACCCCGTGACGAGCGCGTCGCGACTGAGAGGGCCAGCAGCGCGGCGGCGGTTCGTTCGAGCGGCAGTGGAGATGCCGTGCGCGGCGCGGCAACGGCGGCAACGACGACGACGACGACGACGACGACGACGACGGCGGCGGCGGCGGCGGCGGCGGCAACGGCGGCGGTGGCGGCGGCGGTGGTGGCGGTGGCGGCGGCGGCGGCGGCGGTGGTGGTGGCGGCGGCGGCGGCGGCGGTGGCGGCGGTGGTGGCGGCAACGGCGGCAGCTGCAGTAGCGTCAGCGAGAGAGAGAAAGAGGGAGAGAGAGACGCGTACCACGGCAAGGAAACGGCAACGTTGCGCGCCGCGCGGGTGGAGGTGCTCGCCGTACCTCACGCGTCCTCACGTTCCCCTCGCACCGCGGCGGTACCGGCCAATCGTACCGCTCGCCTTCCGATCGGACGCGCCGACAGGCGCCGCCCATAGAGACCGCCTCATACCGCCTCTCTCACTCTCGCGGCCTCCCGCGAGACCACGCGTCTCGCTTTGTTCGCCGCCGAGAAGGAGAGAATTCTCTCTCTCGCGGCATCGGCCCCGGCGAGGCCCACCGATCGGCCTCCCGAAACGGCGATCCGCTGATGATGATGAGAGGAGGCCGCGCTCTGCTGATGGCGGAGGTGGTGGTGGTGGTTGTTCTGTCGTTACTAGTGCCGCGCAGTTGTAGAGAGCACGACGACGACGACGACGTCGACGACGACGACGACGACGACGTCGACGACGACGACGACGACGATGACGGGGACGGTGCTCTTTCTCTCTCTCTATCTGCAGGTATCGCAGGTAGGAATCAATGCATTCCAGGAAAGAACCGCGCGACCCCGTGAAAGTAGGTTGCACCTACGTAAGCGGTGAGATTTAAACGAGTGGGTAATGTGAAAACAGTTTTTGGGGTATCACGTTGGGTGGTCACGTTGGGTTGACGATCGAAAGGATTCAGTGATGTCCGGGTGGACTTGGGGCTTACTTGGGGTGAATTATGAAACACCGACACGCGATTGATGAATACTGCTACGGTGGATCCAGTATCTCGGATGATCCAGTTCGTACAAATCCAAATTGGGATTCTAATTCCGTGTCTAAAGTGGAATTGAAAACGGTGTCCCACAAATTAAATCCGATCTTACTTGATCCTTTTATAGAGGAACCTCTAGAGTCGCATCAGCGTATAACGCTTGGTTCGTGAACGGCATGAAAAATTGCGAGGATTTGTTCTGTTACAGTGGGTTTAAGTGAGTTCAACGAACGCTGGCGGCAGCGCCGTCAAGAGACTTCTACGGCGAAACGCGGTCGGTGTTTTTGAGTTTCCGGGTAAGTTCTCGTCTCGTGCATTAAGTGTTGGGCTCTTATTGCACCTGCGCACAGTAACGATTGTCCTGATACCGGCGAGAGATGAACGAGTAGAAGCGTGCGCTCTAACCGTATCTACTAAATGAGTCTGGAACACCGCATTACACAGGCCGATTACTCGCGGTATTCTTCGTGGAAACTACCGTAATAAATTAGCGCGGTAAATTGACGAATGAATGATACTTTACGCCACGTCTAGAACGTATTCCTCGAGAGCCGGCGAGCGCGAGATCCATGCTCGCGAACACCGGTGCCTAAAACGCCTCGATCCAATCCAACCCAATTGGAGCGGATTGTGTTCATAGCACAAATCTACAAGGTAGCAACTGGATGTATCAGCAATTTCAACTTATAGGTATAATAACGTGGACTTGTGTAGCCTCGAGGTGATCCGAGAGAACGCGTTTCCCACTTATAAAGCACCACTGCTTCGTGGCAATAAAGAAGAAATAATGCTGAGTGTCTTGCTAAGGTGTATAGTGTGGTGTAGTCCCAGACTAAGTGATCATTGTTATTGCAATAGATGTTATAATAGCAGGTGCCTTATGATGCTGATTAGAGTAATGTTTTTACGTGAAAATAGAGAGACGGTTTCTCTCGCTCCAACACAACCAACTCCGCCAACTACCCTAACTACAGATCACCCCAACGCGACGCAGCTCTAACTCTCTAGAGCAATCATGCTGGCCTTGCTCTCTTCACAGGAATATTTACATTGGAATTACTCTATTCTCGCGCGTATAGAGCAGGTTATTATCGTGCGTTGTGCATCAACTACGATTTCGTGGCCTGCATCTCTCATCCCTTGTCCCTCTGAAGAATCCGCACCCTTTCTTGTGCTCGCGACGGCACGTGGCGAGGTAATTGGAATGCGAATACGGCGGATTATTCAGCGTCGACGCGCGGTTTCGCCGTCTGTCGTCACTCGGGGTCCAACAAGACGATATCGACGATCGAATTTGGGCAGCCGTGCCACGATAACGGAATTACACGCTACGTCGGCGGCGCTGGCCGGGAAAGATGGCGGTCTTAATCTAATTAAGGCTACAAAGAGAGACGCGTCCCCGCGTCCGCCTCTTGCGAACTGGCCGGACTCCCCTAACTGGCTATTAGCTTGAATTTTGGTAATAGCGAGCACCACGTGGGGCTGGCCGGTCGCTCTCGTCTAAGAATTAATTCTCGACGACTACGTCGGACGACTGTCGCGCAATATCTCGATGATGCTGGAACTCGAGCGTAAATCTTCGAATATTCGTAGGACAAGACAACTAACTAGGCTGAAAACAAACGTCCAATGAGGTGAGCGGTGAGAATAGATTATTTTTAACATGTATTGAGATTTCTAATCGCGATGAAAATAGCGTCAACCTTTGTGTCAGCCTAAGTGTCTATTGTTTGATTCGAGTTTTGGAAGAAAGATGATGGCAGAGAAGGCAGAAGTAACGTCCGGTTTGAAAAACTCTCGATATATCCACACATATTGGTGTAAGAATTTTTCATTTCCAAGGGAATTAATGTCCCGGTAATAATCATTAGAACACTCATAACGATACTCCGAAGAGCGTGTCCCGTAGGAAGCGTAAATCCTGGGAATTCGGATTTATCCTGTACGCAGATTTACAGGCGTGCTGCGGATTTGTACCGTGAAGGACGCGGGGTGATCCCCTAACTCGATTTTTTTGGTCTCCGGCCGCCACGAACGTTGCCGATCGGACGTGTGTAAAGCTGTGCGCGCGATATTAGACGCGTAAAAACGGGGTAACGGTGGCGATGCCAAACGGCGTACGAGTCGTCGGGGATATACGCCCGCCGAATAACGACACCCGCGGGCTTTCTGATGAGGGAATATCGCCCACCTCTTTTACGGGCCGCGCACGTATAAACACGATGCGGCGGCCTGATGCCGCCGTCGTGCCGTACGCCATGTTATTTTTCCGCCGCGTCGAGCCGCGTTCTCCACGCGGAAAACGGATTAGCAGAAGGGGCTGAGAAGTAGCGGCTGAAACGTTTCTGTGAAACAGGGACAGCCGGTGGAAGAAAGGTTGCAGCACTTTCATCTCGATAAATTTCAGAACGCATGCAGTATCCAATGGGAGAAGTTGTTTTCTTCGGTATAATTATTAAGCTCCTTTGATATGAAGAAATTAATTTTCTTAGGATTTTCTTCGGATATCAGAAATATTTAGTAAAAAACTCATCTTTTAAGAAATATTTTTATACATATATATGAATTTATATAATAAATATGGGTATCTCTAAAAACTTCTCATCATAATAAAAGTATTACAATCTTTCTTCCATTGGTTGAAAGCCCAATTTGTTTGAACTTACACGCTGCGGTAAGAAATATTCGCTATCATGAAAAACGATGTTTTGTACATACAAAAAAATGGTTAGATTCCTAAGAACAGCTGCCATTTTCTCAGCTATTCATTCTACTGATAAATTTTAACTATACAGTGCATTTTATTCGTAGTGGTCAACTCGACAATGGCAGCGAAACGGTTAGCCTTTCAGCTAAGTTCGAGTCAGCCATTGAAAAATTTAGTCGGTAATGCCGAGCTATATTTTCTGCACAATGCTATACCGCAAGGCTCAGAAAGTCGCGGAAATAATAGTCGCCTTCGCGCTCCGCGGACTGCGTTTCTCGCGCATCCAGTTACGCGAGTATGCAAATGAGAACTCTCAAATTTTGAAGAGGCTCGGAGCGTAACACAAATATATCATTACACGCGGTCATGCGTTCGTTCAAGGCGTATCGATCGCGGGAACGAGATCGAACGAAGCGCTCTCGCGAAGAATTACGAGTGGCGCCTCGGGGGAAATAGATATTGTTATGATAATATCGAGGCGGCGCGTTAGA